GTGGTAAATCGGCTTAATGTGTCAAAGTTAGAAGTAAACTTCAGCATAGATAGGGAAGGCGAGCATCAAATAGATTGCTACCAGATATTTGGTTCGGGAATCTGCCCTATATGCGCCAAAAAGCATTGGTATCTGAAAGGCAAATGGTGGATTGATAGTCAAGGAAATAAAAAATATTATTTGATTTGCGATAATATCAAAGAGCCGGGAATCCCAGTTGATGAGGCATTAGGAGTGTATTCAGAGAACACTGTCCTAAATCAGCCCATTCCTTGGAGTTATGCTCTTAGGTTCCTAGATAAAAGTATAGCAGTAGAGGCGTGAAAAATTATATCTGCCGAAATAGATCATGTGTAATCGATCACCTGAAATGCGCAGTACGATATCGGAAAAACACTTGCCGAAGAATAGGGCTGTGTAATGTAGGATTGGCATATATATATTCGCATTATTTTTTCGAATCACGTGGGTGGCTTAGATATTGTGCACAGTAAAGCTTCTCTGTAGTAAACGCATGTGATTCCGCAGAATATTTTATGCACAGTAGTACGTCACCAGCATCCGCAGTCATTATTTTTAGAGGATCTATTAATAACCCCGGTCAAGAGCAATATTTTTGTGTTGACATACTGATGAACTTTCCCCAAAGTTCTGGTATATTCTATCTCACTCATTACGCAGTTCTGAATTACTAATAAAAAAAACACATTCCTGATTTACATTTTGCGGATCGTAAGACGAGGTGTCGTTAAAAAGAAATTCAAAAATGGAAATAGAGCCGATTAGAATCTATGATTTACAGATCCTCGAGTAAACGATATATTTTTATTATCCTACTAACATTAGCGCATTCAAATTACGTGTACAGGCTAATCACACATTAATCCGTTTTTGAATTGGAATTACGATACATGTGCGATTCGTCATCTACAGATCTCGATCCATGATGAACAAATATTCTGATTTTTTGTGATTACAATTGAAATAGGGGTTGTGAACTCAAACAAAGATGCACCACATGCGATCTTCTGTTTTGCAAGAGATCTTAGAAATAAATGGAAAATTTTGAGATACGGTATTGCTCCATTAGTATTATATCAAGTTGTCATAAAACTGTAATTCGTCAGATTTTCTTTTAAGCACTATTGTTAAATGTGCCTCAAATTCAGGGAGAAACATTTGTTATTATTAGACAGGATCCAGACCGTTATAACTGTTTTAGCTGAAAAATATAATTATGAAAAATGTAGTTATGACAAATACACATAATAAAGCAACGTAATTTTTATTAAATTGGGTTAAATTCTCTTTTCACGCGTAGTAGGCATACAGTATAAAATAAATCCTTTTCCCAACACATTTACGCAAGAGAATTGCATATTAAAAAAATCAATCGTTAATAACTAAAAAATTTGATCCACCAATAAGATCTCTTAATAAAATTACTACGCCTAATCATGTCCAGTTTATCATTGCTCAACTCTTCGGGAGTCATGCCTTTTTTAACCTTAACCACTGTTTTTTTGTTTATTAGTCCAGTATTAATCATAGGGATCGCTACCATGTGGTCAAATCTCAAACAAAAAATTTCCGATGAACTTTCTGCACATGTCATCAAAATTCTCATCGATCTTGGTATACTAAATAATATATTGGAAATCGGAAAGAGGTCACTTCATGACCAGATCTTTACTGAACTTAATGATAAAGTTGACACATGTATTTCCGATATTAATTCTACTTTCACTGCGAAGCTCGGCAGAATCAATAATGATCTTCTTACCGCGGAAGCCGATAAAAATGAGGCACGTGATGATGACTTCACTAGGGAGGCGCAGGAAATTTTGAATGACATAACTATGAAAGTTAATAATATCGAAGAAGCCTGCCGTAATGAATTTAGCAGAATTAATGTTGTTATCAAAAATCTCCAAAACGAAACAAATCAACATTACGCAATAGTTTAAAGATCTAATTTTGACCAACAAAGTGTGTCCAATGAATCTGAAGCTAATTCGACCAATGAATCTGAAACTAATTCGCGAGACTCTTCAACTAATTCGCCTCCAAGCTCTTCTTCTGGGAGTTCCAATTTATCTGGAATTTTTGATATTACTGGAGACATTAAAATTCGCTTTAAACAACACTTTGATCGACTTATGAAGGCGAGGAATTATACT